TCCATTGTATGTCTGAGAGATGCTGCTTGCCATCAGAGACATTGCCTTTGGTTATAATTGCTCCAAATTGTTTTTACGTTTGTGGTTTCCATAATGAGTAATTTCAAAACAAATTTGGTTTTCCCTTGTTGTGCCAAAATTGCACTGATCCATAAACCCAAAACCAAGGTCGGTACCGAATTGAGAATTTTGTGTACAATTACTTGTCTATTCCCGGGCCGTTTTTTAATGATAAAAATCATTTTGCGGGTCATACTGTAAAGAATTGTGTTGTAGACCGGATGCCTTGAGTTTAACATATTTGCTCTGAAGAGTGAAGGGTAATTTTCCAGGCCATGTTTCAGCAGAACACATTCTTTTCACAGCTTTTTTGTTTTGTTCCTCTGCCAACCAAATATTGACAAAACATTTTATTTGGTGAATTATTTGAACAAAAAGCAAGGATATCGGTATATTCATCCATTAATGTATATAAATGCCTGTAAAGACCATTGTAATTAAGCTCTTCTTTATTAAAGAATATGCGTAGTCAGGGCTCGGGGTTTTACTGTAACATTGTTTTTTATGTTTTTTTTTTTTTTTAATGAAAAGTAGATTTTAATGAAGCTAGTGGTTAAGTCCTTTTGTCTGAGGATGCTTGTTTTGGAAATTAGCCTAAAAATTAGCCACATCATTTTAGGAAATTAGCCTAAAATATAATTTTCAAAAGCCCTGAGTAATAAAAATGGATGAACTTGATATTGATATGGGTGGTGGGCCTACATGTGTGGTGGGCCTACATGTGTGGTGGGCCTACGTGGGTGGTGGGCCTACGTGGGTAGTGGGCCTACGTGGGTGGTGGGCCTACATGGGTGGTGGGCCTACGTGGGTAGTGGGCCTACATGGGTAGTGGGCCTACATGGGTAGTGGGCCTACATGGGTATACGCTCTGTGATAGGTTAGTGACAGCCTCTGTGCTTTTAGTTCTATTGCAAGTTTTTTGACAGAATGTCCTTAAAAAGTCATGAATTGTTTTCAAATTAGTTCTTGATTAAATGTATCCTTCTCAGTACTTATATTCGTAAATATTTTCAGTACTGTGGTGAAGAGCAAGTTTATAAACTTTTTTCTAACAAAGATCACTGTTCTCAAAGTCATGAAAAAACAGAATTTTGTGTTGATATTTGTTTATACAGGTTGTCTTCATATATCAGTGTTTCCCCTACCATTATATTAGGGGGGCGCCCCACCCCCCTCCCCCGAAGGTCAAGTTAATTTTATTTTCTATATAGCACCAGATCACAACAGAAGTCATTTAAGGTTACCTTTTCTATAGAACAGGTCTATACATTATATTAGCAATCCCCAATTCCAGTGCTGGAAGGACCGAATCCAGCAGAGTTTGCAGATTTCCCCTTTCAAACACACCTAATAACCTGATAATTAGCTGATTAAGATGTGTTTTTAGCAGGGAAATCAGCAGACTCTGCTGGTTTGGTTGGATGCACCAAACTATGGAAATCCTGTATTATATGCAGTGAAACAAAGATTATGTAGATCCCATTTTGTGCCAGAGGGTAATTCCATTTTAATTTTAATTCAACATCACTTTTGATGAAATTTGAATTGCCCATACCTTCCAGAGCTCAGAAATGTAGCCCAGCCATCCATCCATCACCGTAACCACTTAATCCCAGCTGGGCTCACCGAAGCCTATCCTGGGAACCAGCCCTGGGCAGTCGCCAACACACCACAGGGAACACAGGGCTAATTTAGACTCGCCAATTAACCTTCCCTGCACGCTTTTGGATCATGGGAGGAAACCGGAGCCCCCGGCAGAAAACCACATGAACACGGGGAGAGCGTGCGAACTCCACACGGAAAGGACCCGGGACCGAACACGGGGAGAGCGTGCGAACTCCACACGGAAAGGACCCGGGACCGAACACGGGGAGAGCGTGCGAATTCCACACGGAAAGGACCCGGGACCGAACATTGGGAGAGCGTGCGAACTCCACACGGAAAGGACCCGGAACCGTACACGGGGAGAGCGTGTGAACTCCACACAGAAAGGACCCGGGACCGAACCCAGGACCTTCTTGCTGGGAGACAGCAGCACTAACCACTGTGCCACCCCAGAAATGTAGTCATGTAGGTATAATAATAAAAACATTCATAAGAAAGCTCTCAATTATTATTTTTTCCTTGCCATCGTGTACAAAAGGTGCTATACAGTGGTACCTCGGTTCTCGAACTTAATCCGTTCCGGACTCCGGATCGAATCCTAAAAAGTTCGAATTCTGATCGAATTCTTCCCATAAGAAATAATGAAAAACCAATTAACCTACCCCGATCGTCCGCTCCTTCCGTGTGCCACGCCCCCTCGTTAACCTCGCGTAGGATCCCCATGTGATCAGCT